ATAAATTAGCAAATAAAAATGGTACCTTAAAGCAGCTTTTCACCCCTAATCAATTCGCAATTTGTAAAGAAAAGTTAATTTCCATGGATAAGATTTCAACTCAAGAAATATCGCTGAGAAGTAGCTTCTGCTAATTCAAAAAGTGGAGGGCCAGGCTATACACGTTGTAACTGCAAACAGAAATGTTCCACAGCTAAATGTAGCTGTAAAAACAAAAGGTTTTTGTGCAATTCCAAGTGTCATGGTAGTTTGAGTTATTGCAATAAATAAGATTGTCATACATTTAAGTACTTTTCTTTTTTTTTTTTTGTTTAAAAAAATTAAATGAAATTGTTATAACAATATTTTTTTTGAGTTTGTTCTGAGTTCAGCAATTTTTTTATGTTTATTGGAAAACTTTTCCCATGCGTTATAAAATAAATTATAACCCACGCTTTATTTTTGTTTTCGTTTAATAAAAAAATGTTTATTTTCAACATACACCATGAGTGCATGATGAATGTTGACATTCGCCGGTGTAAGTTAGAAATAATGATATTTGAACAATACTTCGGACATACGCCAAGTAACTTGGTGGATGTTGACATTCACCGGTGTATCCGGAGATTCACCAAAATTCGGACTTTCACGGTAACATATGCAAAGAGCTGGCAGAATAACTGCATCAAGGTTCCAGCTGCTTGCAGAACAAAAATTGCAAAACCCTCTTTGTCACTCATAAAATTGATATGTTATCCAACAAAGGGGTTATTTACCACAAAAGCAACTTTGTGGGGAATAACCAATGAAGCTAGCGCAGTTGAAGCGTACCGAAAAGTCATGGAGGAAGAAAACCATGACTCATTTTCAATTAATAAAATAGGATTTGTAATCAATCAGAGATGGCCCCAGTTTGGTGCATCTCCTGATAGATTAGTCTTTTGTGAGTGCTGTTTGGGGGGATGTTTAGAAGTGAAATGTCCACTTCTGTTACGGTCAACTACATTTGAAAGTATTGAAGCCTATGCAGCAGTACAAAATTCTTGCTTGGTTGTGAAGGATGAGGAAGTAGTTTTGAGCAAATCTCACCCCTATTATTTCCAAGTCCAAATGCAAATATTTGTGACTAACATCTTGTATTGTGACTTCGTTATCTAGTCTCCCAACTTGTTTTTTAAGCAGAGAGTTTTTCCGGATTTTGAATTTTGGGAGAAAAATAGTGAGATTGCTAAAAATTTTTATTCCGAAGTCATAATGCCTGAGTTATTGGGAAAATATTTTTCTAGAAAAGAAGGTGCTGCCGAAATTGAACATTTTTGTACATGTAATGGTGTGGATGATGGCAGACCCATGATTAAGTGTGATGCTGATAATTGTACGATAGGCTGGTTCCATTTTGACTGTGTAGAACTGATTGATACACCAGAAACCTTTTGGTTTTGTCAAAAATGCAATAACTAAGCAAGAGTGGTGCTGGGTAGTTATGACATAGGCTCCTAATTAATGTGAGACGTATCTTTAACTTTATTTCAATGGTTTTTCCAGCCCTGCTGCAAAAAGGGCAGAATGAAATCATGCCGTATCTTATCAAACTCATCAGATACAGCTTAGCGACCGGATATATACCCAGTCAATGGAGAATAGCTAAAGTAACTTTCATCCCAAATGGAGGGAAAAGAGACGCCACTCTTCCAAAGTCGTTCAGACCTATACCTATGCCCCACGTCGTTCTTACCTAAAACAGCTGAGAAAGTTGTAAATAACTACATCAGAACAAGTGTTTTAGAAAAGACGCTAGTACATCCTAGGCAGCATGCTAACAGAGCGGGCAGATCAACAGAAACCGCTTTACTTGAACTCACGGACAGCATCCAAAGCACATTGCATAATAAAGAAGTAGCCGTCTGCGCCTTCTTGGACATAGAAGGGATAGTTGATAACACCTCTCACGAGTCAATAAAGAATGCGCTCGTCAAAATAATAGAGGACAAAACCATATCCACCTGGATGTGCAAACCGCTAGCCACCAGAACTCCATAAACTGACGTAGGTGAACAAAACATACAGGTCACCACCACTAGAGGATGTCCACAGGGAGGGGTACTCTCACCTTTGATGTGGTTGACGACTTCCTAAATTTATTGACCGATCAGAGCTTCACCTGCTTTGGATATGCTGATGATATTGTCATCATAACCAGAGGCAAATACGAAGGGATACTTTGCCACCTTATAGAAAGAGCACTTCGAACCAGAAAGAATGGTGTCAGATAGTGGGGCTGAATCTAAACTCAGCAAAAACCACACTAGTAACCTTTACAAAAAGAACGAAACTCCCAAACCTGAGAAACATTCGCCTCGATGGAAGCAGACTTGATTGGAAAAAAGAAGTTAAATTCCTAGGAATAACCCTAGATTCTAAACTTCTCTGGAACCGACATGTAAAGAACACAAAAAACAAAGTGCCGAGATTGCATCGGCACTCATGGTTTACAAAAACATTGCGGGTAAAACATGGGGTTGTAAGTCATCAATCCTGAGATGGATGTATACCATGATAGTGAGACCTATCATCACGTACGGAGCGGTAGCCTGGTATAGCCGAACCTCACAGCTAGTAACAGCTAGGAAAACCCTAGGAAAAGTGCAAAGACACGCGTGTCTCTGTATAACAGGAGCAATAAGATCAGGCCCAACCGCGGCACTAGAAGTCATTCTAGTGAGGTCCAGAACCACTCCATATAATAGTGAAGCGGGTTGCCAGTAGATCATGTCTCAGACTGGAGAAAATAGGTCTACAAAGGAAAACACACCTTGGCAGAACTGTTTCTCTCAAACTGTGCACACCTCATGGATCTACCAAAAGACGTGATTGTTGATAAATTCAGTTTATAGAAATACTTTTCCATCGAACTAAGTGCAAAAAACAGATGGAACATGGAATCTATCCAATCCCTTAAAGCAAATACCATCAAAATGCCAGACAAAAAAAAAATACTCCACTAAACAGGCCCTATCTCAGGGTCTATTATGTGAGGATACTATTGTTGTTGATGAATATATATATTAGTGTGTGGATGGATTTTAATAGTCCTTCATAGCCTATGGGTATAGTGAAAGAAAAATAGTTGTGATAAAAATAAAACTACATACTTGGAATGTAAACTTATTAATTGAACAAAATGATAATTGCGTTGCAGATTCTTTTTAGTTTAAATTAATTTATTTAATTAATGTTTTTCAAATATTTTACTGTGATAAATATTTTTCTTTATTCTCACGAATCTGGATTAATTAAATTTCTACTCTTTCACTCATGAGATTGACAATTAATTTTCTAAAAAAAAAATATGCATGCATCATAATTCCATTTGCAAATAGGTCGTAAAACATTTTCGTAGTTGAACATGAACACTAAAGCTAAAAATACCTAAATATAAGGTATACCTATTACAAATATAACATTTCGTTAATTGGAAAAGATTTGGAATACAATCAAAAGTTCCTATGTGAGGAACCATTGAATTAAATAAATTAACAAAAGTAAAGAAAAAAATAATAATTTACGTATGTACTTATATATAGAATTTACTGTAGGTTAACTTTAACAAATAGAGGTACTCTAATTTATTTTTAATTTATCAAATTTCATATGATAGGTAGATACCTATTTCCGAAGAACTCACCTGGGATATAGAAAAGTATTTACAACAGGTAGAATTTCCAATATATACATACTTACATTACATTACATTCTAAGATCACATATGATAATATATTACTAGAACAAATACTCATTTCATTGTATGAAGCTCATTAACTCCCGCACTGTATAAAATGCATTTTTCAATACATTTTTTTTAATAAAACCTAAGAATTTATTTTGTGTTGACCCACAAACGGTAATGGGTATCTTGTGATACAAAATTGCCCCTATGTAGTAAGGATTGGCTATGTTAACCTCAAATTTTATTGATATCGTGTCCAAATCTAGTTATTGTGTAGTCATGAATATGTTGATATAATCAAGGCATTGTCATTTTTTCAGAAATAATTTTTTTTCTACTACTGTGCGTAAAGTACCTACTTACTTCACGCACTATTCAAACTACGTGAGTAGGTAGGTAACCAAAAAAAAAAAAAAAAATTAGAGAGGGACAATAGGTAAGGATAAATTTACCAAGGCGCAACAAACTATCACTGTTTTGTCCAATATAGGTCTTCTGGATTATTTCCTTTTTTAATCATACTAATTGGTATGGTCTATCTTTAAAAATGTTAAATTTATTTTTCATCATTCCAATGATTCTCTCAACATGAATTCTCACATGTGCTATGTTTCTGGTCGCCTCAATTACCAGGAGATGTAACTGATTCTCACCCTTGGTGAAAGCTGGTATGATCAATTTTGCCCCAATGTATCTTTTATTAAAAATCCTCTATCGACTAAAACAACATCCCCTGGTAAAATATAATTTAAAAAATCACTATTTTCAACAATTTGTTTGTCCGAAGCCCTTCCGCCCCAAGCTTTACTAATGTAGGTAACTAACTGTTCCTTGTGGTGTAATTCCTATTAAGAATTTTATGGTGTTATGATGTTTGTAGTTGGACCACCACTGTTGTTGGGTTTTTAAAGAAGGCGGTTTTTCAATAAAAACCTCAAAACAATCTACAATAACAGTCATTCTGTCTTGAAAGGCATCTCTAAAACAAGATGGTATGTTTTTTTGGGCTAGTAAGCGGTCGGGCCATCTTATTAAAGGCTTCAATTTAGTATAAAGAATACTTAAAATGTTCTCAAAATATGTAGAGGCAGTCGTAGGGGAAATTTTGAAATGCCAAGCTAAATCACAAAAATCATAGTTTAACCTCAATTTAATGAGGGTAAGCAATAATTGGTTAAAACTACTAAGAGCAGTAGTACTTGTAGTGGTCATACTACTTTCTTTAACTTTAAAAATAATAGAAAATACAAGGTTATAAACAAAACCAGTATAATAATTCCACTTCAGATCGTTGCTAGTTTCCTCCCTGAGACCAAATGGCGAAACTTCCAATTTTTTTTTGCAGAACTTCCATTTTTCTTGCAGCAAAGCTGAGTTGTTCAAATTTTACACAGAGTTCATCCATGGTTAGTTCTGTTTGGGACGCAGTTCCAGTCTCTACCTCGTCTTGGTCTCTGGCTTCTGAGAGAACGTTGGTATCTGTTTTCTCATGTCCAATCTGCTGCTAAAAATGTGTTCACATCATTATGCTATCCAAATTTTAAATTACATTAAAATAATACCAAAAATAATTTATGTATTTTTAATTTATATTTCTACTTTTCATATTGCGGCCAAACCTGTAAATTTTATTAAATCCAAAAATCTAATGCTGTTTGTTTTTACCCTCTCACCTCATCACTCCCTTTAAGCCTTCTTCTTTTGTTCAATCTCTCTATTCTTTCCACATCCTCAGGCTTTCTGTAAAATATTTGGGATTGGTGTTCCAAATTTTGAGATGGAACCCAGTCAGGATGATTTTCATCCTCTAAAGCAGTAGGTTTGCCTAAAAGTTGATACAAAGTATTACAAAAGAAATAAAATTTCACCCTAATAAATATGTTGGCCTCGTGATGGTAAACTTCCTATAATTATTAATGTTTACTGTGGGAAATTCTTCTCAAGAATGGGGCTCATTCAAAGGCTTATCTGTAATGAAATGCCTGCTGCAGACCCTCAGGTTCTTTAGTTTGGTTTCCGTGAGATCGTTTCGTTTAATTGCTGCTATCCAGAGTGCCCTACGACAATCAATAACAGCACACGATTGTGGCATTTCTAATTGAAAAAAACACTAATGAAGTCAATAAAATAAAAAAATAGACAGAGTTCATTCACAAAACTACCACAAAATGCACTTTAAAAAGCTTTAAATTCTGTACTGTCATATACGGGATAATGGACTTCCGCCACGGTGGCCATCTTGGAATATTTTTGACAGGTCGTTGGAATGCCTAATTCCGTTGTTCCGAGTCACCTGTAGCGCTGTCATTTTTATGATTTTGATAAGCTTGACAGATTAAGAAAGAAAAGACAGAATCAATTTGGGTAAAGTCTGTTTTTTTTTTTAAAGATAATTCCCCAAGTCAAAAATTTAGTAACTATGTTGGCAACACAAGCCTTTTCTACATAGAAAATTTGAGAGCATTGGCAGTTTTACATTGTATTGCCAAAATAATGTCAGTTTGACTTTTATCTTTAAAAAAAAAACACACTTTACTTTCGACTTGCCCTTTTCTCTTTTGTTTTGGGACCGAACAGGTCGTCCAGATTTTTAGAATTTTTAAAATCATAAAACTTTTTCTTTGTTTTTGGCCATCGAGTCCATATTTTTGAAAATTAACTAGCTAGAAGAGTGCTTAATCGTGTCTACTAGAGAGTTTCCTGGAAAATCAACCGATTGTTGATTTTTGTGAAGATTTTGGAAAGTGAGGTTACTATCGGCCGTTCAGGTATGTAAATTCCTTCTTCTCTCTGATGAATGAGTCCTTACATCCACTCAATTTATTCAGGCACTTTTGGCAGGATGAAAAATTCGTGCCTGCACTTCTCCAAGTGAAAATTGATGAATTTGATACTACGCTGTCCTGGAAACTCAGAGCAAATCTGGGGCCCCTTTTCAAGGAAAGTTCGTGTCCTGTACGAAGTTGATTCCCAGCCATTATTTGGTAGTCTCCAGCCAGTTTGGTACCTCCAGAGCTCAAATTTGTGAAAGCTTCCGAGGCTTTACAAGGATTCCGTCCAGGCTTGTATAATTACTTTCCTATGGGTGTCTTAAATGTGCCATCTTAATTACCGTAACTTATTTTTACCTTTTCTTTATCGCCCCCTATCGTTTAGCTTCATTAGCTAATTAATATCTTCCTAAATTCAATCACCGACTTAATTGTTTACCGTATAGTAGTGTTTAGCTAGAATAGCTAACTACTGTTTAAATAGAATTATTAATTAAATTAATTAATTATTATCAGAGTCAGATATTGGATTTTATTATCGTTTTCTCTATCATTATTTATTATCCAATAAGTGTGCATTATTATAATTATTATAAATTTATTTCCGTAATATCGAGTACTGATCGATATAATATTATTGTGAATTCATTAACCTTTAAAAGGTTTATTTAACTTTTAATTTCAAATCAATATTGTGGTAGTTTTAAAAGGTAAACTAATGTAAAATCTTTAGGTAGTCAAGTTTAAGTTTTATGGTTATCTATTTTGAACTTTAAAGGTAAGAAGGTAGAGCTCTTCCGGAAATCGTGACCCCTTGATTTCACCTAGCAGGTTTTTGATATTTATAACTACCTAGGGATTATTTATTACCTTTCCGCATTAAATAATTTGTTTTTTTATTGATTTGATTGACTTTGAGTCAAAAATTAAAGGTTAATATTATTTTGACTTCAACATTTACACTTAGGTAAGTCTGATCGTAGGTATCTACTTAATTGTTTTGAATTTCAAACTTTTTGTATACCTATTTAAGTTAAGTATTGCTTTCGGAAAGCTGCTTATTTTTTTTTAATTGGATACTGACGATAATCACCTTTAAACAATTTATTTGTTTCAATGTTAATGAACAATGAGTTCGCCATCTTGTCAATAAATTATTGTTTTTACAATTCCAAAACTTGTGTTTTTATTGAAGGGGTTAAATGTCAGATAAGGTATTGGATTTATTTTACCTTTTCAGATTTTTCAATTTATCTTTTTAAATAACAGCTAATTATTTGAAAAGTGTCTAGTATGGCTCAAAGAATAATCAAAATAATTTTATACAAACTAATGGCGTCCTCTCTCTACTGAGCATAGTCGAGCACAATTATGAGCATTCTTTTGTTTCGACAAAAGAGCGTTACAATATACTGAACCTTGTGTGGTCCTAGTCCCTGCATCTATTGACATTGATCTAATCTCGGATTGGGTATTGATCAGTTGATATAGAAGAATTAATCGTTATCGCAACAAATCCGTACACTATCATTTTTTTACAATGGGCATACAATGGGTGTGCCCGATTCTGAAAATTCCACAGGCGAAATTACCTTATGGTCTAATTATTTTTCGACTTTTTCATTCAGTGCAAAAGGCGAGGGTCTAGGTTTACAGCATTTCGGAATTGCATCTGGCTTCACCTTGAATTTCAATTTGAATTTGAACGTCTTGAAAGTACCTAGATCTTGGGAAAACACTAAGGGAAAATACGACTTCAGCAATTTATTCGTTTTATCATTAAATGTACACTTCAGATGCAATTTTCCAACAGGCCTAATTTTATGACCCGGAAAATTTACTAACGCAATGTTCGCCTCCGACAATTGAAATTTAAAGAATTATTTTTCAAAAATAGAAAATGGTACAACCGAAACTGCAGCTCCCGAATCTAACTAAAACTTAATCATTTTATTTTATATTAATAGTTCAATAAAAATAGGTACATCTGTATCAGTAAGATTGGTACGAATCATGTGATATGTTATCGTTATCCGATTCACTATAATAAACATCGCAAAAATTCATATTTTTATATTTGCACATTGCACTTAAATAACCTCTCCTTCTACAATAAGCATGACAAATAGAATCTTTGCATTGCCGCGTATTTGGTGCGTGAAACCTGCCACAGCAAAAACACTTATCAGAGGTCCCACTGGCAAAAAAAAAAGAACTAAACCTGTCTGAGTCTCTCCACCATAAGAAAACCCAGCTCTCCCAACTCGCAGTTGGCCTGCTGACCAACGCGGTGGCTGTGCGCTGTTGCCGCTGATTACCCTGCACCCCGAAAATTCTTGAATTTCCTGAGTTTGTGACTTAACGACCGCCTTGTTTGTGAAAGTTTGAATACTTCGCTTTCAGGTTCCAGCTTTAAAGTAGTTTGCGCAGAAGTTAAGGGTCATTTACATCCACTTAACGTGGATAAAACAACTACCTACGTATAAGTACATGATCTTCAACTTTTCTCTATTTATTAATTTCCGTACGTTAAGTTAAGTTAAGTGGATGTAAATGACCCATTACTTTCGCCTCCTTCCCATTCCCATTTTGGTGACTTCCTCGAATTGTGCGGTCTTCATAGCTTTACTAGAAACTACATTTGGCTTCAGGCTATAGAGCGTATTTTTTGCTCTACCGACGCGAGCGGCCCTGGCATGATATGTTCAGATAGGATAACTGCTGAGGAAGCGTCTAGAGTTTGCGGCGGATTGTTTTAATATATATTTTTTCTAATATAAAAAATAAAAAAAATTGTTTGGAGGTTAGTACTTCTTTCTCTAACTCAGATAGATGGCGTACTAGACATATGATAGGTGACAGATGGTAGGATGATAGGCAGCAGATGGGGCACTAGTAGCTTCAGGTGGGTTAGGCTTCTGCCCCCATCAAACGTCGGCATCGTGATGATTCAAGAATTTTCTTTATTTACCACTACAGCATCCTGTGATACGACACATCGAAGTTCACACTATATACGCTGGATGGCACCACCGACACCGATAATTTCATAACGTAACGACGACATTGTTGGTGCATGCACAGACGTCACGGAGGCGTTGGAGGATGCAGAACCAGCCATCTATATCTACTGCTCATTCCTTTACACCCACTCGCACCGGTGATACTTTGATACTTAAGGTGGGTTGCGTTGCCTAACCTGGTTAACCGGTCGGTACAACGTCGGTTGACAGCGGTTGACAACAATTGACAAGTGGTTGCTGAAAATTTCGGTTTCATACGGAACGCTTTTCCATTCGCTGAATCGCCGCCGGTTGCCTTGGTGACATGTTTGACATAACCAACCGCGTTCCGTATAGACCGGTTTGTCAGGAACCATACATTACGGAACGTGTAACCGTAACCAAGGTTGGCAACGGAACCCAGCCTTAAGGTGGTCCTAAGGCTTAAGTTCAACCTAAGTTGATTTAATTGCATGGCACCGTCATTCAGGTTCTACTTAAGTAGGAGTTGAGCTAAGCTCAAGATTTCTTCAGCTTAAGGTGAACTTAAAACACAACTTACCCCAATTTTCTCGTATTTTTTGTTTTTGACAGGTGTTTGTTGAATTTGTGAGTTTCTTTTTTGCAACATTGAGCTGTTGATTTGTTTAAATAAGTAATTACCATGAATAGAATAGGACTTTTGAATGACGACGACGATTTGGATGATATGAATTTAAAATTTTGTGGAATTACTGGTCAAGGGTATATTAGAGCCAATATGTAAGTACCACCTACCTACTCTTCTTATTTGTTAGGAACAACAGTGTTACACCTATAAATCAATTACTAATATTTCTGAGACTGTGAGCAACGGGAACTCATCAGTCTCGCATAGCAGACTTTGCCGGAGTGCACAGTGTCTCAGTATCTCGGATTACCAAGCGGGTAGACAGGGCATTGGCCAGTAAACAGGCAATATATTAAGATGCCAGAAACTGAAGAGGAAATAGATGTAGCTCACTTTGAATATTATAAAATATCAAGGTTTCCGCGTATCATAGGAGCTGTGGATGGAACCCGCATTAAAATTTGATTTCCAGGTAAATATTAGATAGGTATAGAACTAGAGTATTAAGCTAGGCCATAGAAAAAAATCATTTTAGGAGGGAATGATGCGGAATGGTTCAGGAATACAAAGGGGTATTTTTCGATAAAAAACCAAGTTGTGAGCAGTGCCCACCTAAAAATATTGGACATTGTCGCAAGATGGCCAGGCTCGTCATATGACGTTACCATATTCAATAATGTGAATTTTTTTGGATGTATCCTTTCACCGTTACTTTCTAACATCTACTCAAACAAAATATTCGGAGATATCCTGGAAAACTGTCCTGAAGGAATTTTAATTAATGGTTCACATAAATAACCTTAGGTATGCTGACGACGCCGTTATAATCGCGGACTCGTTGGAGGGTCTTCAGATTATACTTGACCAGGTCACTAATGGTGCAGATTTTGGTTTAAATTTAAACATCAAAAAAACAAATGGATGGTCATTATCAGGAATTAAGTTGGAGGAGGTATTCTACAGGTACAGAACCAACAATCGAACGCGTTGTCATACAAATATGCAGGAAGGTCCGTGCCCGAAATGAACAAGCCAGAGCATCATTCGTGAAAATGAAGCCCGTGTTGTCTTGCCGAAGTCTGTCGCTCTCCGTTCGCACTCGAGTACTACGTTGTGTCTATTGACGTCCCCTCTCTATTGATTTCGAAAAGGGAGAAGAAGACAGCAAGTGCTATAACGATCTCTATCCGTTATAGAGTCCCAGCCCAGTATCCTCTATTATGGAATTGAGGCGTGGACTGTGAATTCATTAACCTTTAAAAGGTTTATTTAACTTTAAATTTCAAATCAATAATGTGGTAGTTTTACAAGGTAAACTAATGTAAAATCTTAAGGTAGTCAAATTTAAGTTTTATGTTTATCTATTTTGAACTTTAAAGGTAAGAAGGTAGAGCTCTTCCGGAAACCGCGACCCTTTGATTTCACCTAGCAGGTTTTTGATATTGAGAAATATTGAGGCGTGGACTCCAACAGACGCCATGTGTGAAAAGCTGGAAGCTTTCGAAATATGGACGTTGCTGAGAATACCCTGGATGGACAGAGTGCGCAATGTTAATGCGCTTGCGGGAATGTCAAAACATCTCGAAGTCATGCTCACACTTGGAAAACGGAAGTTGGAATACTTTGGACACATCCTCAGAAAAGAAAAATACAGACTCCTCAAACTGATAATAGAAGGAAAGATCGAAGGCAGAAGAGGATCCGGGCGTCGAAGAATAAGTGTCTAAAGAATTTGCGATAATGGTATGGTGAGACTACAACAAGTCTCTCCAGAAAAGCGGTCGACAAAGTGCAGATAGCGCTAATGCCAATGTTCGAACAGGACAAGGCACTTAAAAAAGAAGAAGAAAAAGAATTAATGATATTTATATTTTTTTTTTTTGTTGGCTGTGTTGTTAGATTTTAAAAGAGTTTTCGAAACCATCTGTATTCTAAGCTATTTTCCTCCTATTTCATTGCTATTGAAATTACGTCGAAGAAAATGGGAACCAAATACAACAACTTGATATTATGCGAAATTAATTTCATACACCCTGCAGTACCTACTATCGTATATAAAATTAGATTTTATCACCGGCATATTGTAAAAATTAAAAGCATTAGAGATGCATAATGAGGGTACTTTCGGACGTTTGGATTCTAGCCGCAGCACCGATAATAATACCACCGCTTTTTTTAATATTAACAGTCATTACAAAAATAATACGAGGTATTTAGCTTCTTGGTTGCTACTCGGTAATTTGCCCGAAGACATTAAACAATAATACATTTTTATGCTACTGAAATGAATTCTTACGCATGTAATTTAAAGGTTACACATGCCGTCAATTAGAAGAGCTCAAAAACAGAATGGCGTTTCCTCAGGAGTTTAAAGGGTCATTAATTATTAAATTTCGACATGACCAGTCTATATTTTGCTTAAATGCGTAACGTTGTACGTAAGTAATTGTTTAATAATAAGGACAGTTTAAATTAGAGTATGTAATATATTCCCAAATTAGATGTGCAATTAAAATAAGTAGAAGTACCTATAGTTTTGCATAAGGTGGTTCTTAAAGTACTCTGATGTTTAATCGGTTTGAAGCATCTTTTTGCCAGCCTGCATAATAGTTCATTCTCAGAAAGTAAGCTATTTCTAGAATTTTCTTGCCATCAGCTTTAGCGGTAATTAATGCTTTAAAAGATCCTAGTGGTACACTTTTAGGGAAGAAGGACGAATCGAACACGAAATCTTTGACGTAGTAGCGTTTCTGAAAAAAAAAAGTATGTAAAAGTTGCGTTAACCAAATTGTTATTCAACCGTTTGTCCTCTACACAAAATTCATAAAATTTAATCACTTGCAAAGTTATTGGGTTTGAACAAAGAAGCAATGAAAAAAATTATTCATTTCCTGAAATAGGTTAGATAGTGCGGACAGAGGACAGGAAAAATAAGTACTAGATCCCTACTCCTAATGATGAACCCTTTTCTCCAAAAGCCTGTAAGAAGAAGAAGATGAACTTGGAGAAGTCCAGATGATAAAACACTTACTATGTTCTAACTAATATATAGCTTGGAAGAATTTGGAAGAGGCCTACTACATCCAAAGAAGGTTGATAACAGGCTTGAAGAAAAGAAGAAGAAGGAGAAAGAGAAGAAGCCGATCAAGGCTCGTATTAACTCCATGCTATTCTCAGGGAAAGACAGTCTTTGCTCGTTTAAAAAAATTATTTTACAAAGAGCATTAGTGAAGACGTTGTGAAAAGTAAATTTTTATTTATTGTTGAGACAATGCTGCCAGGGGCTGGGTGTGCTAAGACAGTGGAAGAGTGTGCAGTTCCAGTTTTGGTTTATATATTTGGTTATCAGAAAACGCACAATGGACGACAATCAGAATAGGATAGCAGAGAATCATACTCGCTATCAAGTGATCACCTATGATGCTGATGACAAGCAGAGAGGAATTAAAACTCATCGATTTCAAAGAAATCCCTTTTACATGGGGCAAATTGATGAGAAAATTAAAAGATCTTATAATGTTTCCATTGTAACGTATATCGACACATAGCATCCAAGAATAGTAGTGGCAATTGCCAATTTCATGACCCCTTGAAATGATACGTAGAAATAGTGCAAATGTGGAGTTCAATGAAGTAGAATTGGAAGTACTATCAGATAGTGCCATAAGTGCTGTAAGACAGGATGGGGTAGAAGAATATGTTTAGAAAACATTGATATTCGATTTTAGAATTGGCTTTAATAAAGTGGCCACTTTTTCCGAACTTGTTTCAATTCAAATACCTTTGTAATATTGCAAGCATCAATATTGGTATATTTTTTCAAAATACTTTTCATCATACAGTAATTTGTTTTCCACATTTGACAAGCATTGTTTTCCAGTCGGAGGCCCATAAATTTGTAATGATGGTGTACCAGGGCATATAATTCCGAAACTATCTGAAATTGAGAATCATTTATGTATTTCTGTTTATAAAGAAATAGCGTTTGTCTAATTGAAAAGATACTGATAATTTTTCTTCAATAAATTGATCTAATTTCTTACTTCCATTTTGTTTCCATCTAAATCTTGTAACAAATCAAATTCAGCATTCAAAGTAAATTGAGTTCTATTAACTTTCTTGAAGTTGAAGTGAAAATCTGTCCCAACCAGCGATTTTTCCACATATTCAATCGTTAAAAAATTCAGTTCAGGAGTGTAATCTCTATCAGAACTGTTAAACTGGCCCTGAAAAAAAATATTGCTCCTAAAATCCAATGAATTTTTTAATGTATTACCAGTGCTTTAAGAGTATGTTCTCCATAAGCGTTGTCGATAAAATTTAAATTTACTAGAGCTAAAATTATCCAAAACATTGCCAATTTGTTATTTGTAAAACTGTTATGAGAAGAATGAAATATTATGTAGTCGAACCTGAAAATGATTTGGTCAATTAATTTCACAAATAACTACCAAAAAACTCTAGCCTCAGACCAATCAGATAAACATTAAAATTTAATTAAAATGTTTGTTGGCCCACAAATAATTTGGGAATCGACAAATTAATTATTTTTATAATATTCGTGTTAACCTAAAAGTTGAAAGTTATTGAATATGAGCCAAGTCCAAAACACATACGCTTCCTGTAGAAATGTAGGTACTTCTGCACCTAAAACTAAAAGCAAATGACCAATACTACCGGAGTTAGAAATTAGAATATGAGGATATGAGGTATACCTCCTATAGAAAAAATATAAATAATGGCATCTCTGTCAGGCAAATAAACATACAAAAGTTAATAACTATGATTTTATTGGCGCAGTCAGTAGGATAACAAATACCACACAAGACAAACTAATTTGTTAAAATTTGATATCCACTTATACGCGGATCCGATTCTACTGCAAGAAAGAAAATCCAATATAAAATAAACCGACTTCGATACGTTTTCTTTTAAAAATTGTTCTCTTTTCTCCAGCCATGAAACTGTGATGTTGCGAAACAAACAAGGAGGTCGACAACGACAGAAAGATAAAATACGTTTCCCGGGTAACCAAGCGTTAAGGAAAATAAGTGGAAGATATAAGGAGGGATGGGGATAGATAGCGGGAAGTATGAAATGGCATCAGCGCCGTTAAAGAATGGGGTGCCAGCTATGTGAAATAGGGTAGAGAAAGAGGCGAGCGTCAAAGGCGTGATAAATGGAGGCTCGATCCATGATTTCGAGGCAACGCGTTTTGTATTTCTACGCTTTGCCAGGCTTTTCTTTCTATATTATTTTTTGGTTCGGGTAATAAATTTGCAACAGTAGGAGATGAGGTAGTAAAAATATTTCTTATAGTTATCGCAAACGTCACCTTTTCTTGGATAAAATAAGAATGTTGATCGATGGTCGATATTTCCATAAACGTACAAATTTTTTTCTCGCAGGATCGATACAAATTTTGCCAAATCTTAGTCCTAGATAAGTAGACTTCACTCATAGCATCAATGCTAGTCAGCTTTAAAATTTCCAAAATTTCCTATTCGTGGACCGCAGATTAAGTTGACCGACCATCGATAAATTCCCTCGAGTTTTAGCAATGTGATTAGCGAAAAATTAGATGTAAGAGCAGGTTCACATATCTTTTGTTATAAGAGACCGTGATCTTTCTGCTACTCTAGGTAGTGGCGTAGCCAGCCTTGCGGGGCGGAGGGGGCAAACATATAAGGAGCGCATAATTCTTTTGGAGGGGGGATAACAAATGAATGTTTGTATGCTTTTGTAATATTTGCTTATTGGGGGAGAATATTAAAGACGAAAAGCCCGCCGAGGGCGCCACCGGAGGCGAAAAATTTTCTCGAGTGCCACGCCCAAAAAAGTTTATTTCAAGCCTTCAAAAACATTTTTTTTCTCGGGTGCCACGCCGAAAAACATTTATGTATTTTAACCCTTACAAGAAATAATATGTGGACATGCCGTTAGCTTCAAAAAAATCCTCCCGGACGTTTCCGGGGACGCCTTGAAAACTAGAACAAATCCGGGAAAATCCGGACAGATGGCAGCCCCACCCAACCTATTAGGCGGTTACACACGGCCGTGGTTAGCTTGGTATAGTCTGGCTAGCCAAACGGCGAACTCCAAAAGAATTTGCTGCTTTGCCAAACTTGACGGAAACAAATGATAAACAAGTTAGTGACATATTTTTTTTTTGCTGTATGGGCATGTGTAGTATTTCGAAATAGAAAAAAATCCGGCAACATTGCGAAATGATGGATGTGGAGAGGCGTGATTATTCAGAGGCATGATTATATTGGTTAGAGTCTGAACGACAGCACCAGTGACGTGGTTATTTGCAAAACTAGAGAATTTTTTTCTAATAATTTTATTGGTTTATTTCCTTGGTGTTTCCGGTGCCACTGAACCGAAAGACATGGCTGTCATCAGGCGGTGTCAGTTGAGGTGTCAGTGGATATTTTTAGGTTACGTACCAGTTTTCTTCCCCCTTTCGTCTCTACCAAGTTACCACTTGCCAAACTATACATATACTGCATACATCAACGTGCAAACAACTTGCATGACGCCTTTGTACAGGCGCTCGCACAAAACTATCAAAACTGTCAGTCTTACTACAGTGTTCCAAGTGCGCATACAAAATTTGTAGCGATTCCAGAATTCACCGGAGCATCATTCACCCCTATCAGGCGGTTACACACGGATTGGATGACTGAAAACATGTACGCACATACATGAACGCGTCAACAAAAAAATCAATGTGTATGCAAAATAATATCGCGTTTTTGAATGACTTGCTTTTGTTTTTTAAGAACGGAAGGGGCGCCATACGTGTAGGGGGGGGGGGGGCAGTCGCCCCCCTGCCTCCCTACTGGCTACGCCACTGACTCTAGGGTATCGGCAATAATTCTTCGAAGATCCACGTACTTCAATGGTCGCAAAGTTTCGGTTTTTTTGGAGTACCTATCCATCTGAAACAAAATAGTTGTACCAGCTACAGTAGGTGTCTCATGCAATCATCGCAATCTATAGAATGGCTCTCAAAATAAAACCTAAATTTGAATGATTCAACATCACTTACTTAGATAAACCTGTTAACAAAAATTTCTTTAGTATAATGCTTTCATTAATGCGGTAGGGTAGAAATCGCACTACCGTATTATGGAGCTTTTGTTCGAGAAATAATTGTAGAGAGGTCTCGTACGAAATGAAAGTGTACTGTAATTTTATTACCTAATTTACTAAGAACAAGGTTTTTAACTGACCTTTTGAGATCATGAAAACCAGGATTACTGATATCCAAGGTTCAGGAAAATCATAACATGATCAGTAACTACTCACTAGCAATTAGCATTGCACGAATGCGATTTCGAAGAACATTCACGCAGAATCCTAAATGAAATATAGTTTCATAAACTACAGAACTGCTATTTGAATAATTGAAGAAGGCTGATTTTTTGTTATGAATATTGGAATGAATCCGAATGGTCATCTCATTCTCCAATCTATGATGCCACTTCATCCTAGAGGAAAGTTACTGATCGGTGTGGTTTCACTAATTTTTCCGAGGAAATACAGAAAAGAGAGGCTGTATCTGTGTCTGTTACTAGTAAACGATGCCGACCAGGTTAATATTGAGCTCACTCTTCATGGCCCCGATGATAAGCAAAGACAATGTCTGACGAACCGTCGATATCGGATCATAGGCGCATCCTCTTCGACTTGGATCTTGCTTACAAGCCTGGGCTCAGTACGTTCAGGAACTCCCGGAACACATACTGGGCCCAATTTATTGAGATCTAGAGGAATAAGCTAGAAGACGCTCCCAAGCAATGCCGTAGCCTGAGGCAAGTGAACAGAAGCCGAATTTATACGTATTGCTATCACTACTGTCAGCTTCAGACCTATCAAGGAAAGAAAAAGAAACTCCTTGATACGGAACTTACACCTCGACAAAGCTCGTAAAGAAACCCGCACGCTCTTCAATAGGGCCATATGGTCTAAATCACAAACAAACTGGGGCAGCCTCAAGCAGTCTCAGCGTAGATACAAGGATTTCATAAGAAGGTCCAACAGAGAATCTTGGAGGACATTCTTCGTAAACGTAAACGAGCTCCCAGTGCCTGCCAAGCTCCAACAGATTGTCTCAAAAAATCCAGAAGGCTTTCCTTGAGTAGTTAAACCACTTTAGCGCAAGGCTAGCCGATTGGAAGATAGCTGCGAGAGTGGAGACAGAAAATTTCATATAGTGGGCGCATCAAATGTGCAACTGTGCCATGTGCCGCAAGGTCCGACTAGTGTTATAGCAGTAGGTACCCAGGGACCAGGACATTGCTATTCTGTAGGTTATATCATATTGTCAACTAGGTACTTAGGATTAGGAGAGGAGGGGCCCGGTAATCAACCTTAATCTAATTGTCCTAATCAATATGAAGATAACCTTTGACATTATATACATCAGAGATAAATCGATAAGACAACGGTAAAATATTATGTCAATGCAAACCAATGTATGACACACGATAAAATGTCATATCGACAACAGTAGGGTGATGTATATTATCAAAACAAAAGAAAAATTGATTAGGCAAGGCAAAAATAATTATATACATGTCATGACACTGAGGTATTAAAATGATTTTGAAGTTATATCAGAAAGAAAACTTTACTATGAAATAGGGACGAGAATGGGGTATTTTTATGGGACCATAGGCATAGGGACAAGTTTTCCTCGGAGTGGGAAATGAGAAAAATCAAGAGCTCGCGAAGGCAGGAGCGCTGTGTTCCTGAACAGTCTTTTCTTCGAGGGGATCGCTAGAAAGTATTGTCCGCTACGTATTTATACGAGAACGGTATTTAGAAAGACTGAACGATACGAGAGATTCGAGAAAAGATACGAGATCGAGATGGTTTAAGAAAATTGAAGGTGTATGAATTGTTCAGTAAATAAACATTCAGGGCGGCTGGCCGATACGAAAAAAGGTACCTGAAGTCGGCCATTTCAGAATTAAAATAAAACTTGAGATAAGTAATTGAAGAAATACGAAATTAAAAACTTTCAGGGAAAAATATCAAAAGTCATTAAGTATGTTATAGTGTTAATTATTAAAGAAAATGTTCAGAGAAAGAGAAAACAAAAATTTAAGCTAAAAAAAAACTTGTGTAATCATGAAACGGACCAAGTTCATTACATTGAAACAGATAAATTGTTTATCGACGATTATTGTTCAGTAGCCAATTTTAATTGAAAAAATTAAGCAGCTTACGGAAGCAAAACTTAATTCAAATAGGTACATAAAAATATTGAAATTTAAAAACAATTAAATAGATACCTACGATGAGAATTACCTAAGTATAAATACTGAAGTCAAAATACAACTTACCTTTAATTTTTGACTCAAAGTCAATCAAATCAATAGAAAACAAATTATTCAATGCA